GTCGATAAGATTAATCTGTAAAGCCATCAATACAGGCAAGTGAACACGTTGACAGTGTGGCAGTAGTAGTACAGTATGGACATACTCTTTCTACTGCATGTCTAAACATTAATATGGGAGACACCACATATTCCCTGGACACTGAGACAGAAAAGAATTTTGAATTTTGAAGTTGAATTAATGTTTTCATATTCATAGAGGACTATGGCATACAGTATATCTACTGTAGTGAAGAAGAATTGAATAAATGAACTTTCATTTAATGCCTTTTCTATGAAAGTGAAGAGCCCATTCATCTTTGCCCCTTGCCTTACCACATACAATATTCATATGTCACAGTTTTCTATTTGCTATTAAAATTATCTTCCTGCATATTGTATTTTTACTTTCTATGTTTATTCGTAATCGCGTTGAATGCTGTACAGCGAAACACTATCCTAAAACCTACCGCATTATTTTTTATTCCGTTAACCTTTGCAAAAAGTCGGAGGTTGAACATTCAGAACCTCATTAGCCCTCTAATAGGGTAATTACTCAAATGTGAAAAGAAAATATGGCTTGGGAAAAATAAGGCTAGAAAGATTTGAAACAATTCTGTGTTAGCACAACCCATAAAGTTCTGAAATACATGTGGGAATAGCCACCCAATTAGAATTAGAAGAAACGTTTAACATCACTACTCAGATTGATAGTGGTTTATTTCTGATCAAGCTATAGAGCCAACTATTGTAAGTGCTGATAGACTGGATAAGACACATTTACTTCACAATTGACAACATTCATTTGCTACTAAGTGTGATGAAATACAAAGATTGTATTTTATTTTATTGATGAAAGAATCCAGAAAAATAACCTTTAATTAATAAGAATAGCCACAGGTATAATCATATTAGAATCGTACAATTATTCATACAAAATAAAAAACAATAATAACACACGGGTTATTGTTATTATCATTATGATTTCAATAAATATTAATATTCATAATTTTACAAACTGCATATCTACCAAAACTTTAATCACTGGCTACCACTGAAAAGCACCATGAAAATGAAGAAAGCAGTGACTAATAATGCACTATACAGTAGCTCATGAGCGGCATTAAAGTTTAACAGTTTATGGATTCTTCTGAAATTATTGACATTTCATCCCAAAGTCTGCATTAATAGATGTACAGTAGATCTTGATCTTTAGCAATGGAAAAATATTTAAGGATCCTTTGACTTGAAGGAGACAACAACTGTAGTGATGTCATTCAGTGATCTGTAGTATTATCTAGCATGATGCAGCACAGTCATTTGTCAACGTTAACCACAAGGGAAGCTTGATACAAAGCTTCAGTTCAGGGCACATGGATGTGTGTAGATACAATCAGCAAGATTAGCCGGCTTTCAGTGCTACATACCTCATAGAGATCAATCATAATGTTCCCTTCAGGTCCCATGCTGCTCATGACATTCTCCAAGGCCAGGGTGAAGTAAACCCCTCGAGCCTCTGAGACATACAAGTTGTAGGTATCATTCTGATTCCATTCTTGCACGGCAGCTACCACACGGTATTCATCCGTGCTGATAACATGCATATCCTGGAAAGCAACAGCATTCAAGTTATTTACATTAGGGAGAAGCTGCTGGCGGTCCATGCTCTGATACTGTTATATGTTTGGAAACATAAAAAAAGGAATAGTGATGTTACTGTATTTTGTGGGGAAAATATTGCTTTTCTTTGCCTGTGGTTTAATTTCAATACAGTTTTCAGAAGATTACCAAGTAAATCTCCCCCGAAAAATTCTGTTGGTGAGTATAATATACATAATATGAGTTTTAAGCCCAGATGCCATTAAAACTAAGATGTCTGCAATAGTACTCTCCCCCGCTTTGAGTATAAAAACTTGCTGAGATCAGTCACGCTACCCTTCAACACCCAGTCTAATTTGCACCAGTTCGATGAAACTGGATAATCTATTTCAAGATAGACATAATATTCTCATTACCTCTGATTTTTTTCATGTCAGCCCAGCAAGCACTACAGAGCACACGCAGGTACTTTGCAAATTGCTATCTACCTCAGACTGGGCTCAAGTCACCTGGAACTTATTTCTCTAGTAATCCCTGCAATCTATTTAGGAACCATGCTGATAAAACCCAGGGAGGAAGAATCAGATTGCTATATATTTTGATACTGGAAGTCCTCTATGGAAGTGGCATTAAAAAGATACATTTTGAGTTCAGATTCCTCACCACAGAAGGTTAAAGGGGATGACATTTTGAACTCGAAAATCCTGTAGTTTTCAGGCTACCCTTTTGCTAATGATAGCTGTCTTGACATTTGCATGAAAGGATATCAATAACATGAAGCTCTAAGATTAGACATGCATTACTCATAAATACAGTACATACTGTATAAAATATGTACTATGAATGCAGAACTTAGGTACTCATTGTACTGAACCCTTTTGCAATCTGTAGAAAACTTCACGTTTGTACTGCTCAAAACTAAAAAAAAAATCTCTATGGAATTAGAAATATATACAGTAACTATATGAAACATATACAATGTTATATTTTTTCTTTTTCTATCCATCTGTTCATATAAACATCATAATATGTTAGACTGAACCAAACAGTGTATATGGTTACCATTCGTTAAATGAAGATGTTTTTAGTAGGAGAGATTTGTGATTACCAGTTAAAAATTCTTACCTTTGGCAAAGTGTATTTTGGTAGCTTCATTTGTGTAAATGTTTCTCTTTTATAAGATACGTAGTAAACTGACTGGCCTCCTGTTGACACCTGGAATTCAAAACATCAGTTTTTCATTTTATTGCACCTTTATCAAAATGACCTTTAAGTCCACTGAAGCCTTCAGAACCATACAGGGTATGTATTCTAAGAATCTATTTAGTGCTTAAAGCTCCAAATACTGATACTGGATCAACATATTGGAATTGACTGCACAGAATGGAAGTGAATTAAACTTTTTTCTTTGCAAACTATGAATCACAGTGATTCAGTTGGAAGATGAAACTCTAATCAGGCATTTCATAAGTACAGGTACGTATTTAGATCTAGAGAAAAATAATATACAATAATAAATCTGGTTCACATAACTGTAACACACCAATCACCAATAAACCAAATGTAATTTTCATTTTCAGATTTTTTTTCAGAAGTGTCAGTAAGCTTACTAATTTACAGTACAATTAATAATTAAAATACAAATGCAATTAACTTTAAAAGATTTTCTTCAAGGTTCCAATTTGTCATGTCTTTAAATAGAAGAGGCATCGCATGGGGTTTCTGACACTGGATAGATGGTTCAAAAGACATTCTTTAGAAGGGATTCATGATAAAAAGATTATTTTAAAATGGTTAGGGTTTTGATACTGAAAATCAGTTTAATAAAATAATCAAATTGTTGTAACTGAAAAGGGCAATGATATATCATAAAGATCACAGTCATACCTGTGCAATATACAGATTGAGAAAAAATATTTTTCTTGCTTCTGTACCTGTGTACATTTTATCTCTTACAATGAAAGAAGGAGAGATACTATATTCCTAGTAAACTATGGAATAGGTGCTATCAATCAGCTGTCAAAGTCAAGACATTCTACGTTTTCCTATTCACACATTCAGCAGGCATTTTTTCTCCTTCATTGCCTTACACTCGAATCAATATTATATCTTCGAACATCCCATAAACACCAAAACCCCTTGGCCCATAATTAAATACAATAATGAAAATACAATGAATACTATTATGGATAAAATAGGGGACATTTTAATTATCAAAAGTGAAATAGGGAAAACAAACTACAAACTGGCTTTAAGCTACAATACATGACATTTTATGATTTATATGCAATGCATCCTCTAATCTTTTGTTACCTTTTCCTGTATTACAGTTACAACAGTCTTTCTGGTATTATTTTGGCTTATATAGATTATTTTCCAGATACACTCCAAGGTGTAAAGATGGAACACAACTCCTAATTTTATACAAAACTGAATCTATCCAAAGGTAATACAATTATTTTAAAGAGAATCAGAATTTATTACCACTTCACTAGTTAGTGCCATAACAACACCACATTTTGCAAAAGCCTCATAACTCAGGACAATGTTATATTGCTACCACTAAATTCAAACTAGTAACACAATAATCTCAAGACCATTTTTACTATTTATGAAATTAAATAGTGACTACACCAGTTGTTAACGTCTAATAATTGATGCTCCAGCACTAATGTTCTGACGTGACAATGTAATTCCTGCATTTTAATTTGAGAATCTAAAAACAATTATAAAATATTTAATAAATAATTACTTTAGAAGATTAACCACAGCCTTTCTTTCATACCTCTGCCTCCTACTTTAATACTTTTAAAACAGCAAAGAGTGCCTCATTATTGTTGTCATTTTGGATTAATTTTCTGCTTCATATTGTTAGACCCCTAAGTGAATAAATACGCATCTACAGGCTATGAGATATCGTTTTTAAAGACACACACTACACAGAAGCAGGAATTCATTTCAGATTCATGGCTATTATTTTTAAATTTTTATCATGTGATCCCATTAAGTTTATATGTCTTCAATCAACTTCATATTTATTGAAAGGTTATAATCACTTATTACCAAGTCTTAGCAAAGTTATTCTACCTTATTTAGCCAGAAGCTATTTTATTGCTACACTTTGGAATTTTTAAACACTTATTGAACTAGGAATCTGCTGAAAAATATTATTTTAGCAGAAAATAGACCTCAATGTATTATAGTAGCTGTTTAGCTGTCTGAAAATAGCAAATGCTTACAATGCAACATTAAAATGTAAATAATTCATAAATAGCATTATTAAAAAAATACAGACAGCATTGACTATTTTCTCTTAATTAAGTAGCAGTGATGACTTAAAAATATTGTGATTTAAAGAGAAGTACAGTATCTAGCTGGAAAATAACTGCCAAAACCCAGAAGCCCTACTTATACTGTATTACATGTTCCATACTCATGCTGGTGTCGGGCTGGTTTGGCTTCTAAATTAAATGATATATTTTTAATGCTCATGCCTTTTTGATAAGACTGGCCTCCCCTTGCTGCGGCATTGCCTACTGCTGGATTTAATTTGTAAATTATTGCAACAAAGGCAGCTGCCAGTATGACAACTCTGCTCAATTGGATTGACCTTAAGTGGCTCTGCAGGGGAGTATAGGGTAAAGCACTGACGAACACAGCCTAGGCAGTTCTCTGACATTGAAATTTAAGCTTTTCTAGTCCACAGCTTACTGCCTCCCTCACTTCATACTTGGCAATTACATACCTGAACAAACACATACTCATCCTGAACCACCAGGGAATTGGGGTCAATGTATCCTGGAAACGGTTTGCCTTTGTTGGCCTCTGTGCAGTTTTGAAGTTTGCAGGTGACATATTGGGCTTCTGAAACAGATATCAAATGAATCATCATATTCAGCCAAAGGAGAACAGCTTTCACTGACATTCAATCAGAGACTTACATTAATTGCATCAATGAAGTGACAAAACAGCAAATCATAAAAAACAATGGCTTTTTTTCTTCTAAAATTCCAGGGCAGGAAGTAAAAAAAAGTCCTTTAGCATAAGCTAACAGTTTTTTGAAAACCCCAGCTGATCAATACCAATGCCCTTATGAAACAAACAACCTCACATTCAGGCGTCAAAATGCTGGTACTGAATCTCTTTCAGCAATATAACATCAGATACATAACCGCTAAAGACCAGGGATTTAAAAATTAGATCATGCAGCATGGTAAAGCGAGAAACTTTTTGATTATACCTACTGTAACAAAATACAATGTAATTATCATTCCAGTGACAGTATAGTTTAATAAAAAGACATAGTTTCTGAGTACAGAGCAGTTCTTATATTAAATTAGGGCAGTTGATATGGTGGATCATAACATAACCCGCAAATGACTGTTATTCTGCTAATCTACTGCTTATTCCTGGTAAGAGGTAAAGAAACCTGGAATCTATCCTAGAAGCACAAGGTGTAAGCCTAGGCTTTATCAAGTATGCTAGTCTTTTGCAGGGATGTGAATAAACACAAGCACATAGGAATACGTTTCATGCAACAATTAACCCGTTGCACTTTGCCCTGTAGGTACCCCAGGAATTTAACCTAGAAACGTAGAACTGTGAGGCAGCAACACTAATCAGCACACAACAAATTTTAAAAGGATTAGTATTATTATTTTAAATTTAGAAATTAATTATCATCTCAGTTTACTTCTGAACATCCTGTAATACAGTGAAAATGAGAAACTATGAACACACTTCTCCAACATGTACAGTACATCTGTCGGAGCAATTTGATGAACTGTGTTCAACAGTGCTGATATCATTGAAAGATCCCAGGTACCTGGAAAAGGGTCAACTGTTGCTCAACAAGCCAAGCAAATCCCAGTTGACTAAAGCTACCCCAACAGCAAAACAGGAGGTCAAATAGTATATCACCAGTTGATGAATCCCAATCAATCAGCTTATAGAAGGTGGATTACTTTCCGTCACATCTAAATTATGATAATTAGTCTGACTTGTACTCCATCCTGACCAAGTAGTGATCAGAAAGCTTGACAAATCCGCCTCCCTGCCCGGAGTCTATGCAAAATGTTCTTGTTGACCATTGTTCTTGGAAAAAGAGAATCAGGCAGTCAGACTAAAAGCAAAGTGTTGTCTGCGCCATGACCAATGTTCTTGGTTGCCCTATAATTAGTGAAGCACATAAAATGTTTTCAAGATAATCCCTTCAAGATAATTTTCAAGGTAAATTTATTCAGTCTGAGATCTACCTTTAAATATGTAGTCAACTGTCTAAAACTACAAAAACACAACTTTAATTAGGATTCTCTTTGTCACCCTATCTCTGTCTCTCTAGTTTTTGCTCTATAGACATAAACATGAGCAAAACAGAAAGCATTGGAGCTGCAATGGCTGAATGAAATTACTTACGTCCCTCTGAAACAATGGTTTCCAGGTGAATTAGGCCAGGCTCCTTGTCTAAACCCGTTTTTGACCTACCGGTGAAAAAAATATCAAAAGAATGTTATTTCAAGGTGACGACAGCTCCCTTTACCTTAGTACATATTGTAGTAGTATTCAGAAAACAGGAGTGTCTGTCTTCTGATTTATTCTACCACAGATACTTTCTCTGTTAAGTGCAGGAACACTTAAAATACCATTAATTAAAAGGTAGATGGTGGTCATCAGTACTGAATGAAAAACAAAAACTTTGACCTCCAACTCTGCAGTGGCAGATTAATTACTCATATAAGATATTTGCATACCTACTCTACACTGCTTATCAAAACTCTTCTTTTAAATGCAATGAGAAGTTACAATATATGTATTTTCAAAGCATCAACAATGTATTCCAAGTCTCTACTAGTTTTCAATTACCATCACAATTTCTACTTTTTTTTGGAAGAAATCAATCTTGTTTTAGCAAACTTTGAGTCATAAAGAATGGAAATTTCAAACGCTTGATCACAACAGCTAAAGGTAAATCATATATAAACAGACAATATGATGCATAGTAGTACATAATCTCTCACATTGACCAAACATACAGTATATAATTAAATTTTCAAGTGTTCTCATCATTAAAATCATTTGATCCTCTATACACATTAGTAAAGTTTAGAGGATTATTTTTGTCTTTCATCATATAGATCAGGTAGGATTAACTGACATTTTAAAACAAAATGGTTTCAGAAGAAGATTACCATAATAGTATGTTTCGCCATACAGAAAGAAAAACTGAGAGAAACGAATCAGACAATTCAAATCTAATACTTTCGTGCAGTGCTGTACTTCTATGTATACCTCATGTATTTGTGTTGAAATAAAAGAATTTCTTCGACACTTCTAGAAAGAGAACCAGATCAATATGATGCAATGTATTTTAAAGTAACTCTTGTGCTTTATAATCCACTTTACTTTTTTAACAATCAGCTTTGGTAGCTGTGCACAGTGGCAATGCACATCTTTTAATGGTTGCATCCATGTGCAATCTCGACATTTACTGTTTTTCTAATCTTTTAGTCTGAGAAAGCAACTTCTTTGTATGGTAGTGCCTTCAATTTAAACAAAAGACAAAAAAAACATTCATTTTTATTAAAAGCTTCATTCCAATAAAACCCGCAAAATGTACAGTATCTAAGCCTTTAAATTAGGATAATAAGCTTTTGATTGTTTTTCTTAATCAAATGTACTTCTTAATAAAGAGGTTGTGCTCTCAGCTTAAAGGATTACTGCTGTAGCATTCAAGGTGTTTTATTTAATTAATAAAATAGATCACTTTTAATACATTTGAACAACTGCATTGTTAAAACCATACTTTTATTAGAGCAGTGCCACTCATTGCTACTCATAGAAAGACACAAATCCAGCATGTTTTAAAGATTACCCAAATTCCTCCGTAAAGAACTGGAAAGAGAGTATTTACATACACAATGAAATAATTGATTCAGTTTAGTTGCTAAGAGTTCAAATGGACTGGAAATCCAAAGTTTCCCGGACATTCCAAGGTACTGACAAAGTTATCACTACCTTCGAAATATTCTACAAATAAAAAAATGTACAAAGAATTACCTAAAGCAATTCTTGGTGCAAAAAAATCATATTGCAGTTGAACATGCTTGTTCTCCTTTCCCCCTTTTAATTCACAATTGCAGACTGTGCCTCTGTCACACTACAGTATTTGTATTGTTCTGACTTTGTTCTGGGGCTCAAGATGTGGTGGGAACATAAAGGACAGTAATGACAAAGAACAAAATGAACTCTGGGGTCAGCAATTATGATATAGAAATCTCTATGGAGTTTCAGAACTGAAAGACTGGTTTCTGAGCTGGAGAGGTTAAAGAAATCAAGGAAGGAGGAATTTATATCAAGGTAAATGTTCACAATGTTTGCCAGAATTTTAAATACTTTCAAATTTTCAGTACTTCATAAAAATAATGGTATAAGGAAGTTTTTTAATGTTTTTTTTAGAATGAAGATAAATATTTGATCCAGCCTTCCACATCTTTTGAAGTAAAAAAAGAGCCAGAGATTTTAGCTACAGTGTCCCCAAGTTTATTGTTCAAGGCTGCCCTTGGTTTCTGACAGAACAGCAGAACAGAGCCTTTCGTTAGAATGAGACGCTCATTTATCTGCTCACTAAAAATGCCTACAGGCATTACAGTGTATTCACCAAATCCTCCTTTCTGCTTTTTGATGAAAAATCTGTGTAAGATTAAATATTTATTAAAAAGACTTCAGAATCAGAAAGACAACTTCAACCAAAGTACAAACAAAGAGGGAACTCTGCCTGTTTCAACGAGACAGATAATTAGGACACTTATTGGAAGCATTGGTGGATTAAACTTTGTGGCTGCACCACCTCTTCTTCAATGACCTACTTTTTAGTTTTCTGGAGACTTGGATGCCTAGGCAAGCTACAGTATATGAAGGAACACTGGAGCATTTTTTTGTTGAAACATGTGAAAGGCGTGTGCTACAACACATCTATGCTTTTTAGGCAGAAAAAAGTAACTTTCCTTCACAGAAATGCATATACCATTTTAATTAACATCTGCTGGACATCTGTTCTGCATCCCATATCCAAATGAATACACATTAATCCCATGTTGTACATTTTGTAAGGGTTTTGAAAGTTTTCATCAATTTAAATTACTCAGGTTTTTACCGAATTTCAAACTCCCCAAACTTTGATAAGGTTCTCTTTTAATGTATGTTACAAATTGCTTGCTGTTATTTCGTTCCAACAGGTTTATTATTTTATATATACAGTATATACTTACAGAAATGTTTTATTGATTTTTTCTGAGTAAACCTGAGATCCAGAAATTACACAATAATATTCTTGATAGTAAATTATATAATGTAAGTCCATGCCTCAGGAAATTCAACTGGATATACATTCTGACTCCTATTCTTAGACTTCCCATTAAAGTCTACATGTACCATTTCTACAGTACAGTATATACCCATCTCATACAAATTAGACTTGTAACTGAGAGTTGTTGGAAATATATATATTTAATTTTTTTCTGTTGATTGCAAGTTTGGAAATTCCAAATCAAAACACAAAAAACAAGAAAAAATTAAAGTTCATGCCTTTTATCTTTAAAAAAATATACACCTATTTCACCTTTCTATTGTGGCAACAGTATTCACATTATCTACCCCAGAATGACTATGACTGGTTAAACAAAATGCCATCTTAAGTACAGGATTAGAACTAAAATAAATTTAGTTTAAAATACTGTGGTTAAAATTAGCAATGCTTTTGTTTAAACACTGACCAAAACAAGTGTTCCAGTAAGGAGCTGTAAAGCATTGTGATAGGCTGACAGGAAGGTAGGAGATGATGATTTGGTCATCTTCATTCACCTGCTGTCAGGTGATGGATTGCTAAAAAAAAGGCAAAGTGGCACTACCTCTTCAATATTTCCTGATTTTATTAATTGTGTCTGTTGTCAGGAAGGCGAGATTTCTTACGTTTTTCATCTCTGTGCTGTAATAAAAGTTACAGACTTGCCCTGTTCAGCAGTCTGTAATTGCTTTGTAGTTCAATTCCTTTTATTGGTGGAGTTTCCATCAGGGAATTCAACTTCCAGAGCCTTAGCACTGCAGCTCATATTCCTTATAATAAATCTTATACATGTGCTAAACAAGCAGCCCTCTAGACTCCCACTCTGCAGCTTGTTACGAGTTTGACAGTTCTTCCAGAATTGCTCTACTAGAGCTTTTTAAGAAGTTGAGGCAGCGATGTTATAAATGACTGGGTTTGACAGCTTCAATCCAGCAGACGGGAAACCAGCTATCCATAAAGCTAAAGAAATATGAAGAGAGGAAAAGAAAAAAGCAAAAAAAGGAGCTGCATTTCCAAGTTAAAAATAGATTAGATACTTTCCTAAGCTTTGCTTCAGCTTTCTGAAATACTAGCCAAATATCAACAACAAAAGCAGGGCTCCCCTTCGTGGAAAATGCAGCAATGTAGAAATGTGCATTTGTGTAAGACAGACCAATTTTCTGGAGTGAACTTGAGTTTTACTGTTTCTACTGGATGTATTAAACATTATGAGAGGTAAAGATCAGCTGTTCAGCTGATGTTCTTGAAATTGTGCCAGAATTGCAAAGCACTGCTGGCACCAGACACTATTAAAACAATAAGCAGCTTAAAAACAAGAAAGCACAAAGATAATCACGAAGAATCACTAATGATCACGAAGAAATCATACATTAACACTTGCATCTTTGCAGGAACAACTTATTCCTTTGCCTTTTAATAAGCAAATGTGGTACAAATTATATTTGAAAAAAACATCGATAAATCATTTTTGGAGCAGCAGATGTACTCTGGAATGGCCTACTGTATATTCACTATGCAGGAGGATATGACAAGTAGTTTTACTTCCACACAAATGAAAACAATATTCTGAGAAGACAGAAGAAAAACTATTTCTGCATATCATTCTTTCCCATGCATAATACTGGGAGCTCTTCTACCAGGTCTCAATAGCCTTGGATGATGTACAGTAGGTTGAGTGTGTTGATTGACTCAAGAAATAGATAATACAAAATTATTACTTATTATTATGAAAATATGAAAGGACAAAAAAGAAAAAAAAACATAAATCTATAAAGGGAACAATGTAACCTTTGTATAATTTATTTGGAAAGACAAGGTTATCATGTGATTAATTTCCAATTTTGAAAATGTTATAGTTTTCTCAAGCCTATTTGTGTGGACTTCACAAAATAATGTAAATAAGTCATTGTAATAGCCCAGAAATAATCTGCCACATTGTAATTGATTAGTGGTAGTGTAAAATTACAATTTTAAGAAAAATATGCTGGCATTAGAGCTTGCAATGTTTAGCTCTAATGGGTTCATTCATTAAGAGAGTCATAATCGTCTGTACAGGCAATTACCTGTAAAACACCAGTGCATAATGTTCCAGCCTGAATCAAGGATATACTCACAAAAAAAATCACAAGAGGTATTTAAAGTAATAAAGTATAATAAAATTCTGCCATTGTTTAATGTGTAATAGCTTATTTTTTTCAAGGTAAGAAGTTTTTTATCTTATTTACAGGTATTGCTTTCTGAGCATGTATATTTTTCTATATACTTTTTACTAAAATGTGTGTGCCAGAAATGCATGAAACAATTAAAGTATATACTGTCACACTATAAAAATAGATAGCATAACATGTTCTTACACATCTGAACTGTGCCACACTTGTTGTTTCTGTTTTAAAAATAAAAGACTTCAGGAAACATACAGTATACCCATGTACATCAGTCTTAAAGTTGCTACAGTATGTCTTGTTAACCTTCTGACTATTTCAAACAATGTTTTTGTAACAGCTTCCCTGCAGGTCACCTATTATTGTAGGCTGCATTATTGGACTTGCTACCCTCTGGTGGACAAATAGGGAACTACATTTCAGTAATTTCAGTCGTTGCATTCATACAGTCCCTTACCCATTCTGGTACCCAAAACTCACTGCCATCGAGTCACTACTCCACATTCGATTTTAGCACAGTATCCATTTTCATTTGACACTATTTTCCTTTAATACATATCTGTCAAATTCAGTTACTTCAAATAAATGTATTTCTGCTGCTTTCTTAATTTCTATTCACAGACATTATTTAACAAATCACCTTGAAATTGATCACAATCAAATTGTGCTAAATCCTATATGGTATAGTAATGGTTTGGTTTAGTTAAAGGTTACCTATAAAGTCTGTTGGACTGGGTTTATGCAGCAGAAGGCGGAGCATGAATGACAAAAATTGATTTTTTTTTAAACCTGGAGAAAAGAGGGCCAGGATATGGAATTATGAATTACAGGATCTCAACATGCATTTATTTTTCTCCTGAGCAACCAGCACTTTAAGATTTTATTTCATACCAGTAGAATCGGTTAGGGGTCACTCTTTCATGGACCAGCTGCCACCGCCTCCCGAACTCCACGGAGCTGTAGAGCTGAGGAACAAAGAAAGACAAAGACTATTAGAAACATAGTCCAGTATAAATATTTGTTACAAAATACAAAATATGAGTTTAATGTCATTAGATGAACTTTGTCTGTACAGAGCATGTTTGCTTATTTTGTACATTTCTGATTTTCAGTTGACCTGTTTTCTCAGAAGCCAATTAACTTATCAGTCTTGCATATCTTGGGACAGTGGGAAGGAACCCATACAAACACAAGGAGAACATACAAATTTCACAGAGAACTGAACCCAAGGCATCCGCACTGCAAAGCAGCAGTGCTAACCACTGTATCATTTTTATTTCCATAATTATACAATATTTTCTTGCTGCAAATGTGATACTTTTCTTACAAGGCATTATTTAATGCTAAAACACTGCAGAATGAAATTAAAGAACTCTCCCAATGACAGTACTCTACATTACAGTATATGTTGAGCGCATTGAAAACAATTACTAAGAAAAAATAGGAAGATGATACATTCTTTTTTCTATTATGGCTACTAGTTCACAATTAACTTCTTAAAAAACTAAATCAGTTGTAGTGGGGTTGTGATTCCACAATATTTTGAGAAAATCCTTTTGAGGGAGAAATTAAACTACACATGTATAGAAATTAATCTGCATTCTGTAAAATGAATGAACATTACGACTTTGCTTATAGCTTTAAAAACTGCAAACACTGAATTCTATTTTGGGCAGCAACAACAACAAAAATGAATTCACGAGGAATGACAACACCCAAGATGAAAGCATTATGGAGCGAAATTGTGGCTTAACCCGCTTGGCTGAGGGCTAACCTCCTGGCCATAGGACCAGGAGGCCAGGACCCCGAAACAGGGTGACTAAGGGGTAGCTGCAGATGTAGAGATGGGGTGGAGGTGGGATCAAGAGGCATGCACGAGAGAGAGATGGGGATCTCATAGGCAGTTATAGCATTTGGGAGAGGAATGGATTGTCTGGAGCATTTACTAATTACTGACAGCTGAGTCTGATTGAGCTTGGTTGCTGTCGTCTCTTTTGTTATAAACTCCATTAAATAACATAACACCGGCAGGTTAATGAGTGTTTTTAGTTAATAATTAGCTTGTATTATATTACAGGCATTCAAAAGATTCAGAAGCAACAAGTCTCACATGAAGAAAATAAGGCCTTTGTGGGATTGTCTAGCTATACAGGACATTTAAAAAAATGCAGGGAGAAACTATTTTTTTTTATTTTGAACGCCTTTGTAAGCGATTTACTCCATGATATTTCAAGCATAAGACACCCAAATCTGGAGGCTGAAAGGATAAAAAGAGCTGCAATATAAAGAACCTGCAAAATGGAAAGGATATCCCAAGAAAATCATTCAATTTCTCATTCCTGATCCTGACAGATCCTGGTGAGCAGGTAAGAGACAATAGAAGCACAGGACATCTACAAGCACACTAATACTTCAAAATACAGTGAGTCAAAAAAGCAATGATTTTGTCTTGATCTTTTGTATAAACACAAAAAAATCTTTCCAAAGCAAAAGATGCATCAAGGATATTACACTTCACAGAAATGTGAATGAAATTAAATTTTTTAAAAAAGTTTTATTTCACATCCATGCCTAGGTTTCAATGAAGGGCTTTTGTGAAAAAGAATACAGTACAGTAGTTTGTATATCCTCCTTCTTTGATGTGAGAATGCTTCAAGTTTGTAATTGCAGTCACTGCAATTGTTTATCTTCTTAGGTAAATTTTGAAAATAACTATAACCAATGGGAATAAGTGAAACAAGAAGAAATATTTCTATTTAAAGCAGCTAATTTCCTGGATAATTGGTAGTCAATGGTTTTAGGGGGTCAATCATACTGTAGGTTGAACAGCTAAATTCCTGCTTAAATAGATTTAGCGACATATGGAAAAATGTGTAAATCACAAACCGTTGACATCACCTGCTTCTAAAGTTAATTTAATTCCTATATGGAGTTAATCTCATGAAAACAACACTACCATCTGTTAGCTTGATCTTGTTAGATTTGTAAGCTAAAAAAAGATAAGCCTGGCCAATGCTGTGTTGGGTGCTTATAGATGCTGTATGTGCTGCAAGTAGTATTTGTATAAAAGGAGGTAGAGATCTTCACTCTGCAAGAGTATTTCTAAACCAATGCCCACACAAGGATACAGTGCTGGGATTTTGTCATTTGGAAGAGAAATTAAATTGAGGATATGACTGCTTGGTCATTAATGATTGCATGGTACTTTTCAAAAGAAAAGGGGTGTTAAACCTGTTGTCCTGGTTAAATTCCTATGTTCCTTTAGGAATGTAGGCCTTTCTAAAGTGGAGCCTCAGTTCAGTTGGTAAAGGAGTTTCTCACTTTCTCTTTTGGATTGTTGGCACACGTCACCCAGATGGGTAGTTCGCTTCGGAGTGAATGAAGTGGGTCTACTTCTTCGTGTGAAATATTTGGGGATCCTTTAGAAATGTAGGGAATTTCTTCCTTAAGATTCTTATGATTTGCTTGCTACATCAGAAATGTTTACCATCTAATTCAGACCAGCAGGAATCCTTTTGAAATGTCCCAGAATAGCTTGACTGAATATACTGTACAAGTATATACAGTACTTACAGTATATACTGTTATATACAGTATAGACCAGCTATTATACATTGAAACCCTATTGCCCATGAACCTCAGTCCAATACTAAACAGTTATTATTTTTACTTTCATTCTGACAAAAACAGATGTGCA